GTATACTGTTTTATTTTTCTTAAATGTATTTATTTTTTTATTTATTTATTGTTTATCATTATTAAGATATGCATTTATTCTATATTACCTATTTTTTTCTTTAATATAAATGGGTCACATGTTGCAAGCTAATGAGTGTTCTGTCTGGTTCGTGTAAATATCCAATCTTCACTTATGAACTAGTTTGTGTGGTGAAGCCCATATTAATTTAGTCATGCATTATCCACTTAGTAAACACTAACACATTATACACTTTATAACTAGGCTAATTTAGCACTTCCATCCAATTGTATCTCTATGGTGTCAGGAACACCCCTGAGTTATCAACCCAAGGAGAAACCATTCACCGGAAGGCAACATATGAACTCCTAGTTGTTATGTTTCACAAAACAAAGTCGTCATGTCAAATGTCTCGATAGATTTAGGGAAATATGTGAGAATGCAACACATTCATATTCACTAAACATGAAGCCATGCAGGGTGCTATCCTTGCTGTTCTTGTTGTTCAGTTCAAACATGTTGCCCACTGGAGCGTCTGTCTTAGTTTGACAGGTGTGAATTCATATCACCCCAGTGAGCGTGTTGCTGTTTTTGATCTTTGCTTGCACTCTTTCAGTTCTCTCTCATCCATTCTAATTAGGATTCTTCTCACTTTTGAGCATGGAGCTTTCAAAGACCACGGTAGTTTTACAGAGAGGCAATACAGTGGTGAAATCTCCCAAGTGTCATTGATAAAATGAGTTCTGCTCTTACTAGAAAGCCAACTTGATCAACACTATAGCCTCAATGCTTTTAAAATCAGGTCTGTTCAAAGGGTCTTATTGCAGTTTTTGAATCTTTGAATCTTCTCTATCATGTATACTTTACATTAGCATACCATATGCTTTTATATGTTGATGATGTTGATGATGTTATACGTTACAGATCATTTCAGTAAAGCATGAAACTTGCAGAAATGCAAAACTTCCTTGATACAGGTAACCCTTCCTGCTAAACACAAAGTCTACATCAACAAGTGACATGATTGTTATATAGTAATAGAGTGACAACAGGGAACTTTCTGTCCCCCCCACTTGCAGGTGCTATGATAACCTAACTCCACACTGACGAATATGTCCCCAGCCGACATTACTATTGTCTTTTGGAGGCTGTGGCAATTTTAAGGCTAGAAGACACTTGTGTCATATTATACTAGAAGACCATAGGCATCCATGCCATGCTAGCTTGTCTGGAAGGCTAAATAACCCTGTAAAGTCAGGCTAAATGTTAACAATGGAAAAACTGACATAGCTACATTCAAGAGGATCTCTTGCCCATGCAGTTTTGGGCTTCATTTTAGCCTAGTGTACTTGAATATTTCTGCATACTGTGGTCCATATACAGTAAACAATTGCATACATTTGGAATGGCTGGAAAGCTGAAATGCTTTTGGAGTCAATGAGCCCAATTGCATTCATGTGTGATGCTTGTCCCCACAGAAGTCCTTTTATTGTAGTGAGACCATTTTCTGAGACCTCACTGTATAAAATGACCTATTGTGACCTCCAGGCTTATAGGTATATTGGCTGAGACTAAAAAAATTCACTTATGTATTTCATCACCCAAAGCTCAATGGCGTCACAGCATACAACAGAAAGCTACCAGTTTTTAGTTTCATTATTAAATATTTTTAATTTTTATGGTCAGAACTTTGGTACTTTGTGTGTGTGTGTGTGTGTGTGTGTGTGTGTGTGTGTGTGTGTGTGATAGAGAGGGAGGATGGTTCATTAGGGACAAGCTAGCAGTTAAGGAGAGAGAACATAAAGAACACAGAGACAGACAACAGGAGTGGACTCTTTTCTGGTATTGTAGCTGTTATGGTTTATTTTACTTTGTGTATGTTTGTACTGCTTATTTGCATTTTTTGCAGCTGTGACCAATTGAACTTCTCTTTGGATTATAGAGTCAAAAATATTTTGATTAACTTTAATAGAGCTGAAACACTTACTAGATTTGTCAGTCAAGAGAAAATTAAACAGCAACTATTTTCATAATCTATTAAGTAATTTATTTCTTGCAAAAATGTCCCTAGTTCCGGTGTCTCACCTGTGAGGATGTGCCGCTGTTCTTTGTAATTGTAAACTGAATATCTTAACAATATAACAATATGCAGACCTTGGGGTTCAAGACGTGACAATTTTCACAATTTCTGGACATTTTCTTGAATTTACATAATGAATCTATTGTCCACAGATTTATTAAATGAAAATAATTGTTAGTTGCAGCCCTACTCCTTAATAACATAACCTTTATATTAAATACAGGCATGATAGCAAGTTCAAATTCATACTGTAGTGTAACAAATGTAAACCAGTGGTTATCTTGACATTGGAAACTTAAAAAGGTATGCAATAATGTTAAGCATACGTAATTTGACTCAATAAATACAAAATGTTTCATGCATCAAGAGTGGAACCATAAATTTAACTAGTCTAAGATGTCAAACATATATATTACATCTGTTAATCTTGATCCGAGATGTGACATTTAAGCCGTTTAAAAAAAGCAAACACTTGTCGTGATCAATTTGACAGTGAGCAGGAAAATTAATCCACAATCAGCTTTTTTTATAAACGATAAAATGCGTTCGTTCCAGCCACTTCAGTGCGAGGATTTACTACTTTTCTCTGCTTTATTTCATTGTAAATTCAATATGTTTTGGTTTTGGACAACCAAGACATTTGAAGATATCACATTGAGCTCACTATCCTCTGCCATTAATCACTAAAGTTCTCTGGGCATCCAGGTGGCCTAGCGGTTGGGACACATGCTATGAGACCACAGCATCCCAGTTTCTGTCATAGCCCCTCTCTCTCCCCATGTTTCTAACTGTATTTCAGCTGAAAATCCCACAAAAAATGTGTAAAAGAAAAACTGTCCTACTAATTGATGTTGAAAATTAACAGTTGCAGCCTGATTATCATACATGTCCTGATAATTACTGGTTGTTTATGAATTTTTTATGTTTTGTTATATCTGACAGAATACAGTATGAAAGGACATGAATCTATAAATCCAAAAATAAAGATTTTAGTTGCCAGTAAATTAGTTTTAAAAGGGTTTTTGGTAGAATCCTTTGCTAATATCCACCTCCACCTGCCAGCAATCAATCACTGTTATGAATCCCAGAGCTTTTCCAATCATGTGTAGGAAATGACACGCTACTTAACATCCTATTTGGTAACTGGTGAAGGGAAACGCATGCGGACGCCCCTGGTGTAATGTTGGAAAAACCATGGGCGTGAATTTCCTCTCTCTCCGCACCCTTTAAACCAACTGACACTAACTAATTGACTTGCAGCGCAGCTTAATAAAACTAAAAGCAGGAAGAGCCATCTAGCCGACTCATTACATAGGACTAATCCTTTATAGCTAATTAACTTTTTTTTCTCTATGTCAGACAAGAATAATTTATAATGCTGTCAAGGTTAGCAATCCCTCTCACTTCACTGCTGCCCACCTGTTAGATTTGAAAGGAATATTTCGAAACCGACGTTGGCAGAGACACATACGATTGGTCTAAATCCACTGTTCGCCTGTACTGAAGTATTTACGTCGTAGAAGAACATTAAATTGATTCTAGTGTTCAGAAATTCGTAACACATTCCCTCGCAGCAGTCCAATCAGAAATGCAGCCCCGGCATTTTACAAATAAATGAACAGTGTGCGTGGGTGGGTGGGTGTTCCTGTGTGGGAGATTTTGCACTATAGAGCATATGCCTTTGAACGTTGTGTATTCATGTCTATATTTTTGACTTGTGAAAATCCCACAGATTTGACTCACATGAATGGGCCCGCTGCAGACAGATCTGAATGCTGTTTACTGATGCATGGTGGAGAGCACTGTGCACAACTCTCTCTCTCTCAGATATGAAGAGAAAAGGAAAGCCCATGTCTCCATTAAAGATGTCAAACCAAGGCTGTTCAAATTTATATTTTTACTTTCATTTTCCATCATTCTTGAAATCTGCTGAAATTGTTTAGCAGCCTTGCTGGTAAAAATACCCCAAACTTCAGTACATTGTTTATTTTCCTTGATAGATATGCATTGAAGGGGTGTACTTAACATGGCAGCCTCTAGGAGCTGCTAATAGACTCATAGAATCAGAGGATGTATTTTCATATTTACTGCTTTTATCAACACACACCAGCAAATTGTAATGCCAGCTGGTTGATTAGAAAGCCCACAAAATTAATCTAAATATCACATCAAAATATATTAAAAGACTAATATATCGAAACATATCCTTTTGGTAATTACTACCCGAATGCCTGTGAACATATCAGCCCTATCATGCAGTTACTAACTGATTAAACATTCATTTTCTTTCAATTATTTCCTAATTTCCTTCAACATAAAAAGAGTCTCCTGGTTAACAGAAACATGTTTCATTCTTTTCAAGGTCAGTTTTTTAGCTTGCTTTAGTTTGTGTATCAAGCAGTGCTTCTTGCAAACTAGAGAAATGCTAATATACAGAGTACAGTTATATTACTTTGTGGGATTTTTGCCTTCATTGGATGGATGATAGCAGAGGGCAGACAGGAAACTTGGGGAGAGAGGGTATGGCATGCAACAAAGGTCCACAGATGAAATCAAACCAGGGCCTATGTGGTACATGCATTAACCATTAGGCTTCTGGGGTGCCCAAATGATATTTATAAAACAGTTATTATAGTAACACAAAAATTTCAAAATGAGATCTAAATTGAGAAGAAATACAAATTTCCCTTAAGTACTTAATTGCACAATTATAAGTTACAAAAAGTAAGTATTAGGAGTATTTTAGTATTTCTAATAATGTTACTCAATGGTACAAAAAACATTGCTTCTGAAATCATCCTGAGACATGCACCAATTTGCTTCCTTAAATGATGCAAATGCAAATAGAACAATTTTCCAAACACTGACACTTTTAATGTACACAGTGCTTACTGAGTTCGTTCTCCCTCTTTTCTTTCAGGCCATGGAACTAAAGGTGTGTTTGAGCTGCTGGCAGGCTGGAGGAGAACAAGGGAAAACCTCCCTTTCAAGGAGCGTGTGGCGGATGCTTTTGCTGACGTGATGGTGTGCTACACCATGACCAGCTCACTCTACATTATCACCTTTGGCATGGGAGCTAGCCCTTTTACCAACATCGAGTCTGTGAAAATTTTCTGCCAGAGCATGTGTGTTGCCATCCTGGTCAACTACTTCTATGTTTTCTCTTTCTACGGCTCTTGCCTGGTGTTTGCTGGACAGCTGGAGCAGAACCGCTACCACAGTGTTTTCTGTTGTAAAATCCCCTCAGTGGAGTACCTGGACCGCCAGCCCACATGGTTTAAAACCATGATGAGTGACGGCCATGACTTGTCCACGCACCACGACAGTGTCCCCTACCAGAATCACTTCATCCAGCACTTCCTGCGCGAGCACTATACAGAATGGATTACCAACACCTATGTCAAACCCTTCGTAGTCATTCTGTATCTCATCTACGCCTCATTCTCATTCATGGGATGTTTACAAATCAGTGATGGATCAAATATTGTGAACTTGCTGGCTAGTAACTCTCCGAGTGTTTCATACGCTCTGACCCAGCAGAAATACTTCAGTAACTACAGTCCCGTGATTGGGTTTTACATTTACGAGCCCATCGAATACTGGAACTCCACGGTGCAGGAGCACCTGAAGACTCTGAGTCATGGCTTCAACAAGATCTCCTGGATGGACAACTTTTTCCACTACCTGCGGGTGGTGAATGTGAGTGCGTCAACAAAGAATGACTTCATCACCATCCTCAAGGGCTCCTTCCTGCGTAGCCCGGAGTACCAGCACTTCACTGAGGACATCATATTCTCCAAGAACCGTGAGACTGATGAGTACGATATTATTGCCTCACGGATGTACTTGGTGGCACGGACGACAGAGAAGAAGCGCGAAGAAGTGGTGGAGCTTCTGGAAAAGCTTCGTCCGTTGATGCTGATCAACAGCATCAAGTTCATTGCCTTCAACCCTACGTTTGTGTTCTTGGACCGCTACAGCTCCTCTGTCATCTCGCCCATCCTGACCTCAGGATTCAGCGTACTCACAATCCTCATCCTCACTTTCTTCCTGGTCATCAACCCCTTGGGGAACTTCTGGCTCATCCTTACTGTAACGTCCGTGGAGCTGGGCGTCTTGGGTTTGATGACCCTCTGGAACGTTGGCATGGACAGCATCTCAATCCTGTGCCTTATTTATACCCTCAACTTCGCCATGGATCACTGTGCACCACACCTGTACACTTTTGTGCTAGCCACCGAGCACACTAGGACGCAGTGTATCAAGTTGGCACTGGAGGAGCACGGGGCGGCCATCCTGCAGAACACATCCTGCTTTGTGATCGGGATCATGCCCCTGGTGTTTGTGCCTTCCAATCTGACCTACACACTGTTCAAATGCTCCCTTCTCACAGCAGGCTGCACCGTGCTGCACTGCTTCGTCATCCTGCCCGTCTTCCTGACCTTCTTCCCGCCATCCAAAAAGAGACACAAGAAAAAGAAACGGGCCAAGCGTAAAGAGCGGGAGAGGGAGAGGGAGCGGGAAAGGGAGAGGGAAAGAGAAGAATTTGAATTAGAGAAGATAGAGTGCATCGAAGTCAGGGAGAATCCTGATCATGTGACAAATGTCTGAGTAGTTTAAGCAGTGAATTTCCGTGGGTATCCGTCAGTTATTGGTGGATTAGAGGTGTTCTCTAACAGTGAGGTGCCTCTTGAGGTGTAGGGGAGTACAAGATGTCCCCCTGAGGAGTGGGCACTGGTCACTCCCAAACAACAGCAGCTAAGCTGGCCAGAGTAGAGTGCAGCCCCACTGGTCAGTCATTCAGTCCTTCAGTCTGGACAGTGTATCTCATTTGCACAAACTGCAACATGCTCATGGTTCTGAAGTTCTTTCCCAACTATTTGGTATTAAAAACAAGTTAGTTACCAGAACTTATGCTTGCTAAATCTGTAAGTAAATTCTAAACATACAGTACGTTAGTCCATTTAAATATTAGCAATTCAATGTTCATCTCCTGCAGCCCTTATCTCAAAAGAAGTGAGTGAGGAGCATAGCAGTCTGTTAAGCCAAGGACACTCAGACAGGTTGGTGAAAGTGGTCAGTGTGATCATACAAAAGTGTACAAATTAAACTGTGCAGGAGATGACTGTGCACGCACCTTACTCTTCACATCTTGATAACAGCAAAAAGAAACGAAACCAAATTCTGTGGTAAGAGAGAAACTGTGGAAAGAAAGCACACCGCATGCTTTTCTGTAACATTAAAAATAGCTGAACAGCTGAACTGGGCAGATGGCATACACTGTGTCCATTAAGAAGAATTATCTTGCACATTGCATTATGTGAATAGAACTGCCTAGGTTTATAGTAGCAGAAGGCAAATATTTCTGCTTTATTCCAGAGGTCATATAAGGTCTTAGGCAATGGCAAAAGGAACTGCAGTGGGCTGCAGCGTATGAAGAGGAAGTGATAAGTGACTGTCGTGCAGCAGTATTTAAAAGGCAGTAAGCCTGACTATGACTTAAATAAATCCTAAACTGCTTTTGCACCAGACCAGTAAAACCAAAAGTGAGGAGTGTTTCCAAGGCTTGAAACATTGAACTTTCTAGCAGGTTGATAACAATGGAAAGTTTCTGTGAGAGTTTGAATGTCTCTGTGATCCACTTACAAAAGCTTACCGGCATGGCACTGGTAATTGGGAGGTCTGAATGTGATTCAAAACTAGTAGTGGTGCCAAATAGTGTACAGATTTTTTTTTTGTTTGACAGATTTCTATAAAAAAAGTCTCAGTAAGTTTGAACTTTCATATAAATCAACCATGAATCATGAATTATTCAAGCTAATTTAATGATTACTATTTGATGTTGTTCAGGTTTGTGAAGCAGATTATGAAGCAGGCTTTAAATTAAACAGTGAGGCACTTTTTGTAAAGTACGCTGTCTCTGAGTAATGTGAAAAACTATAGAGAGCCGAAGTCCAAATAGAACTTCCTGGTTTGGTTCCAAAATAAAGAAAATCTCAATTAGGGTTACACTGAGGTTTGTAATAACCCTATCTATGCTACCTGTCCAGCACCAACAGATAGACCAAGTTAGTGAGTAGTCAAAGACTAGTGCCAAATGAATGCTAACGTTTCTTTGTATCTACTGGATGTGTAAATTGCTTGCGAACACTTTTGCCACAACACATTTTTAAGGTGATAATTTGTCAGCTAACAAATTGCTAATAGCAAGTACTGTAAAAGACTCTTATAAAGGCCAGTTAAAGCCACCCTCAATGAGAGATCCCATTGAGATACAGAAACAAGTGGAGCATCTAGCCTGGAAGTGACATTGAGACTTCGGCTCTCTATTGGGAACATTGCAAAAGTGAAGGTGCAGACCACTACTGCCACCTGTAGGCCTTGAGCTGGTCTTGTCCATGTAGTAACTAAGTATATTTTGCCCTAATACTTCAAATAACATTCCATCAAAAACTCCACAAACACCCTTCAATATTCAGTCGTAGAAGTCCAAAATGACTGTTGTCTCCCCAGAGGGTAAACAGTATTATCTATGTGTGCCAAGGCCCGATAAGAATCTCTGTTGCAGTCCCTAAACAAACACTCAAGGTCAGCAGCCCTGACAGATACCAATCTCTCACTGACCCCTGGCAGGCAGCTCTTAGCTGGTGGTATGTGATAGAGAGGTCCCATATGTGAGCAGATGTGGCTGATTGCAGACCAGTCAATACCTTCTTAGGGGATTGGGTGGCGCATAAGAGGCTGTCATAGTGGGAACACTGCTGTCTGGTTTCTTTGTGCTGCCACTGCGAAAGTGAACGGCTCTCTCGCACAGGACAGCTAACCAGACAGCTGGGGGAAGATTAGAATGTTCATATTGGACCAAATGACAGTGAGAAATATCGGTTGATGTTTAACAAAGTAGTGTGTGAGGGTTAGAATTGAGTATCAAGCAAGAAATCACTAGTTATCAAAAAGGCTATTATAAACCCACTTCTGTGTAAATTAACAGAGAACAAATGAGACAAAGATGGAAAAGAATCATCTCTTACCTGTCATACCTTACCACAAACACATTTCCTGCTTTTTGTGGAGTTATAAAATAATCTTAAGTGCTGAATTGTCAATGATAAAAACCTTATAACTTTCATCACCCAAACATTGCCCTACTTAGAAATGAGGAGTCCTTGGCAAGCTACTTCCTGCAGCAGCTGCAGTGAACGTCACATTATGTAAAAGCCATGTCATGTATGTATAGCAAGAAGGCATGAAATGTTTGAAACACGGGAAAGAAATGCAAATCTTAAATAATTTACTTCCCAAAATGGACTGTGTTTGCATGGCACTGTATTGTATGTATGCATGTATTTAATTTTTCTGTATGAAGTCTGCGTATTTTTTTTTATTTTTGCTACGCTGTAGTGACTTATGTTTGTTGTTTTGATGCATATTCTGTAACACCATGTGCTGCAAAAGAGCAAATGAGTCATATCTGTTCCAAAACAAAAGCCAGAGGATATTTCATGTGTAAAATAACTGTAAATTACTATTTTCTATATTTTCTAAGAAAAAAATATACTATAGAAAGATTTTTAATGACAGAATTTTCTTAAAAAATAATAAAAAGGGAAAAAAGTTGAACACAGTAGGCCAGTAATAAACAGTGGAATGTTACCAGTATACTAGATCATATTCCTTGCACACTGCAGTGTCAATGTTTGTGGATGATTCACATTTTTATATGGGAAACTGTGGCCACCATTTTATTGTTTGTTTGTGTATCTTGACTCATTTATATTCTCCACTTTGCCCGCACATTTAACAAAATCCACCATTACTCAACAGACCTTTTTTAAACAACTGAACAGTCTACCAGGCTTTGTAACGATCACTTTTAACAAAAATGTAGGTTAGAACTTTCCAGAATATAGATGGACTCTCCAGTCTATGTCTGAAAGACATCTATTACAGTTTGCTATATGGCAAGTTAAGCTTATCAGCAAAGATTTTAATATTAAGCATTATTGTTAGCTCATTCCTAAATATAGGCTACTTGGTGTCCTCTTACGCAACCTGTCATTGTTGCCTTGAAGGCTATTGCTGTTAGCTAGCCACATTCAGCTTTATGCAATTAGCATATATCAACATTACAAATTAATATAAATTCTTCTTCTATGGCAACACACTAAGTCTTACCAATGGATTGCTGAAACAGCATGTGATATCCAATATTTAAAACTCATTTTCTTTTTTTTTCTTTTGACGAAATCCAAGCTTAAAGTATGAGCTTGGCGTCATTTAACATTTTTCCTAGTATCGACCAATCCTTTGAAAAGACCAAAACCAGCAATGTGTTAGTCCATGTCTCAACACTTCAACTTACCCTGTCTGTGGCACTCAGCCCCTAGACCATTGGTTCCCTTCATTAGTGGGCACCAGTGGGAACCAAGAACCAAAACCATTGGTTCCAACTGAAGAAATATATTGTTTTAAAAAGGCTAAATAATTTCCTAAAACAGTTGAGCACTTTAGTATTAAATGTTACTTGAACAGTGGTAAACTGTTTTTATGGCAGCTCTATGGTACATAGGGATTACATCTATCATGCTCTGGAAACAGACAATACTTGGTGATCAATTCATTGGTGGTTTTAATCTTTTGATGGGATTTGTTGACAGTAAAATTCAACATTGCCAGCCTCATTATTTAAAAAGTTAACTAGTCTGGTTTGCTTCATAGCTAAATTTGACGAGGTACCAGATATTCTTGAACTTGATCCTTTTTGCTATAAAAAGCTAAGCTTTGTATGTTATTCTCTCCATATTTTCCCCTTGAGAACATGTCTCTGTGTACAAATATGGTTTGACTCATATGCATTTGTAGCAAAATTAGGCTGTTTGAGTCAAATTTATTCACCTGCTTTATCATCATGTAAAGACGAACCATTTGTAAATGCAGCACTTCTTCTCAAAAACAGATCAGTCAATCATACCTCTTCAAGTGTTGCACATTTTCTAATGTTACAAATAAGCTCCGCTGGATCCATTCTGTAAGCTCCTGCTATAGTGTGTTGTAGCCCTCTCTGTCTTCTATTGGGATATCATAACTGAAATGTATTTGATACTGTGACATTATAGCTAAAATATCCATATGACAGATGGGCCTCAAATAGGATGAGGTTGCCTCAGAATCTATTTTTCTCTAAACTAATTAGTACAATACGTGAGCATCAAAAAGCAAAAAGAGTTCAAATAGAAATAAATTTGCTAATATTTTTGGTTGTATTCTGAAAGTCAATATTTGGGCAGGTAGATAGGTGTACTGTACAGAGTCCTTTGACCATGCACCAGCACATTTTAAGTCTGGACAACCAGGGACAGCACAATATTTCCACAATACAGGGCAATAAAATTATGCAATCGCCACTGTTTGCTGAATAATCTACATGGCAGATCTCTTTCGACCACAGTCTCAGAGGACAAATTACTGTTTTACTGCAAGTCATCTATCTTGTATGTCAACTAACTGAGCCAAAAAAAGAGGCTCATGTTGCCCCCATTCGTCAAACCCCTTATTAATGGCATCTAGTTCAGAATTTTTCATAAGATTTCAACATTTTGCAGAAGGTAACATGCTTAAAAGGAAGTGGGGTTATTTTAGTAACTTCAGTCCCATTTGAGTTCAGTTCCTGGTGAAACAAGCAATGTTTGCTTCATACACTGTTAATACTGTAAGTCATAATACAGAAATCTATCTATCGATCTATCTATCTATCTATCTATCTATCTATCTATCTATCTATCTATCATGTTCATATGCTGATTTTTTTCTTCATTACTCATTTGAAATACTATCATATGGCAATACCTATACCTAAAGTTATTTTGTGCTATTTCCCAATCCTTGCCCATACAACACTGCCTAACTCATGCTCTTGTATAACTTGCCTGATTTGACCTGTGTGACCCAAACACCTGGAACAAGGATAGCATACTTGAGTATAATGTGTACATGTAACTCTAGTAAGAGTACATTCAGTTGCTTGTTCTTAATATTGTAACTATGTATTTGGAAGATTCTAGTCAGTTTGATTTCGCCAAAGTCTGAGCCTATATATACTGTGTCTTAAAAGGGTATACCACTCAGTTTAAGAAGGTACACATGCTATGTTGTCTTTATGGAAAGTGCAGTCAATCTTATTAGCATGGTCAGCTCTCCCTCAAACCAAAAAATACAGCAAAAGGATGTTTCCACATTCAATTGCTAAAAGTTTCACTGTGCTTATTGAAAATCTGATTTTAAGGGCGGGGCCTACAAGCACAATTTGTGACATCACAAACAGTTTGGAAGTCAAACCTGGTCAAGTATAGAATTTGATGTAGAAACTTGAAGCCACCAGTGCACATCCACTGAAAATGTACTTTACAGTAAAGTAGGAGATGTCTTGTGGAGGAATTAACATTTACAAGGACATTTAAATACGTAAATTAAACAGTTAAAATATCCAAGTGTCTTCTGCTGTCTGCTCAAATTGTACCATATTACAGCTTTTCTCTGCATCAAAGCACAAATTTAACTGTTTTGGGTTTTTTTTGTCGGTCAGCAGCAGCAGTTCAAACTATCTCTTTAGGTTTAAGATTAGTCAGTATCACAATAAACCAATCTATGGACAAAATTCAGACTGGTTTAACTTTACAGACTAGTCTTACATAGATACACATACACATACATCTTGTGTTAAACAGAACATGCGTCAGTTTTTATTGCTTATGTATTCCATGTTGTAAGAGGCTTCCTCTAAAATGCTCTCCCTTTAAATATTACAAAAATATAAAATATAAATTCTCCAGATGTTCCTTGGAGGTATTCCAAAAGAAACTACGCACTGATCATTAGTGAACTTTTCCCACTGGTTTCATGATCATAGTCATAAAGCATTCAGAGACATCCATATAATTGCTGGATGCAGAGTGATGAAGTCAAATTCCCATAACCAGCAAATAATTGTTGGTGATAGGAATGTTCTTGAAAATTGTTTTGAGGTGAAGAGAACCATTACTTATTTAAATTTTTGTTTTTAGTTTTATTCTTGGTTGCTAGAACATTCTTTTAAAGCAAAAATATGTAGGCTAACTTCATTACAAAGTGAGAAGAATCATAAAGTTGGCAAACTGACTCAATGTTATAAGGTAAACACAATCTGTTATTGGTATTTGGACAACCAGAAGCTATTGGTGTTAGCTGGTAGTGTATTCATCTGTGTGAAAATGTGTTGTATTCCTTAAACATTTAAATTTTCATTAGTAAGAGTAAGAATATGTCTTTCTTTAGCTGAACAATGGCTACAATGTCCACAAATGACAAATGTGAGATAATGTTGAATGCTAAAATGTTTGCTAACATTAGCTAACATCTGCCACTAGAACCTCCTGGTTATGCTGGAGCAGGAAAGGTGTACTGAACTAAGTTTTTTTTTTTTTTGAAGGTAGCAAGACGTTAACACAAGGGAACATTATGTACAGTATTTACAGGATGTAGAATTAGATTAAACTATAATTTTCCATAGGTAATCTACAGCAGATGGTAACATGTAGTCCAGAGTAGAACAACTCTGGTTCTACTGGCCCGCTCCAAACTTCACATTGGCTTCAGTTCTGGTTTTGAGGTGGTTGTGATCACAAAGACTGATGTGTCTTTCTGTGCCTGACAAGAATAGTTTCTCAAACTGTGTGGTATTCCTCTTTTAAGTGTTGTAAGAACCTGGTAGCTTCATGAGTTTGTGCTCTTCATATAAGCGGTGGCATTGCCTTACATGTTTTCCAGTATTTGGGTACAGATCTTAATATCTTTGAGGTGGAGTATTTTTCTTACATTGTGACTGAAATATAAATGTGAAGTATGTCTTTAGAAGCAGGTGTAAAGATAACACTGTGATGAGATGACCATGATGTCTAATATTGTGTGTTGTTTGAATAGGTGAGTGCAAGTGTACTGGGTTGGAGGGTATTTGATATTGTTACAATACTGTGGAATTTAGGCTTTTCAATGCTGTTCATTCTTAATGCCTTTCTCATAACTTACAACAATCGCTCACAATCAACATGAGGTTGTACCTGTGTTGTTGCTATGAATCTGAGAGAAGAGCATGCATGTTTGTGCCCAGAAATTACAGTTTAGATGTGGGGATTCCCCTAAAGAATGAACTGTAATCCCCTCCTCACCACCTCTAGTTACTGTTAACACTTTCTATGTCATGTAAATGCTAATGTCCCTCAGCTGTTAGACCAGTGTACAGCTCTGCATGGCGGTGTATCTGTCACAAACACATGTGCACACATGTTGCCAAGGTATACGTCCTCAATGAAGAACAGGAAATTACCAGCTGGGTCTTTGTGTTGCCTGTTTTTCTGGTCGCTGTTTTAGGTTTTGGCAGAGCTTGAACTCTGTTTTGCTAATCTATGCCTCTTACCGAGCAGCAGGAAGATTTAACCTCATTTGACTGAAGTGACAGAGAGAGAAAAACAGGGGGGGGAGGTTGAGAGAAAAGTGAGAGTAAATGTAGGCAAGGATGAGAGGAGTGTTAGAGGGAGGAAGAGATAAAGAAAAAGGATGCCAGCAAAACCGGAGGTAAGCCCTCATTTGAATTTGAGAAGATTCCAGCAGCAGGGATGATGGGAAGTTTTCCGGTGAAGAGAGATATCGTATGAAATGGGGGGTGACTGCGGCACTGCGAGAAACGTTTGTGTTGATGTAATGAGTCTTACCGGCTTATTTTACTTTGGAAAGTTGCTGCCTGTTGTGACAAATGCAGATTTGCTTGTTTCAGAGCAATCAATCTTAAAAAGGGCAGATTTCTCCACTCCCAGTTCCTCATGTTTTAATGAACCTTTTAAAGGGGCACTCTGGCATGTTATTATTGCCCTTCCATAAAGGACAAGAGAAAGAATGATCAAAATTAATGCAACAGAGACCAAGGTAGCCTGATTTTTAGTTCCTATTATGCAGGGCCGAATTAACTCCCTAGGGGGCCCCTATTGAGCCCCCCGACACCAACTTCCCCCCAGAAACCAGCCAGTATTTCTACACTGGAATATATATCCTGCTGGAGGTTTGCTGTATGTTACTTGTGATCATTTGCGCAAAGCAAGCACCATTTAGTCGTAATATCAAATGAAATATTAAAGGCCTTCTTCTCATTTAGAGCAGCTTTGGTTATTTGAGAGATTTATGTATTTGTGTTTTTGTCTGCGATGGTCTCACTGGTTTGAAGTGGGCAAGGCTCAGTTGGAGAAATGGACCAATCAGGATTCAGGATTCAATAGTTAAGCAGCAGAGTTTATGAATGTAAAATTTCTAAATATAAACTAATGAAAAAAAAGACTTCAAAGGTACGTGGGACCCTCTTTAAAATCACGCCTTAGGTGCATAAAATCAGAAGGATTTTTACCATTAAGGTTTTTAATTGTGCTTTAATTGGTGCATAGTGCAGTTTGGGTCAAGCTACAAAAATAGCCTATACTTGCCATAATGAAACTTGATGGCATCTTTCATTGCTCCCTCCAAATTCACAGAAGACATAATGCAGCTGTTTTCACATAGTGTTCTCCATGACAATTGGACTGAGCGTGATGTGTAAAATTGCTGGATTGCTCCTTTAAACGTCAGTAAATACATGATTTTATTTATTTATTTTTTGCAAAAAGAAAACCCACATTTGATGTAATATTTGCCAAATGTTTTATATAAAAGCAGAGGAGAAAGTAGAAAGACTACTGAGACTGAGTCCAGGCCTTATACTGCATGACACTGGAAGTTTTACTGTACACAGCGACATCACAGTGGCTTTTTATAATCCCCCTAACGTTTTACTTCCTGAGCTGACGGAGACTGGCAGCAGGAGTGGCTGCTGTCGTGTTGTGCTCCGTTGCAGCGTTATTGCGCCAAGCTGCCTTGGCCGGGGATATTTTTGGCTCCCACCTTGTCTTAATCCTGTCGTGATTCTCCGATGGATTATTCATGCTTCCTCTTCTCCTCTCCTCCCCAACCCATCCCGCTCATCCCACCTCCTTCCCCTCACACCCCACACCCCCTCTCTTTCTCACCTTCTCCCTCCTTCCTCTTTTTGCACTTTCCCGTCCTCTCCTCCTGAGCGGCTTCCTTTAACACCACCAGTTTTATTTATTTGTGTCATTGTTGTGCGTGTGTGGTCCCAGCCTTTGAGTGTGTGCTCCCAGACTTTGGACCAATCAGTTTTATAATTTATTCATTCATTATATCTGAAGTTCTGCCCATACCCTCCAAGTATACAAATAAATATATTACTAAATCTTTAATCTTGTTAACACCACTGCCTACCTTTTAATGTATCCTTCCACTCTATCCCCTTCATTTAGATTGCTTTGCTTCACAACCTATTGAAGTAGTCTGAATTCCCTGCTGAGGACTGCTGTGATAATTACTTACACAGAATTTTCCTTTGCTCTTTTTCTCTCTCCACCTAAAAAGAAATCCTGAAGACTTTTAGCAATGAATAGAGTTGAAACGTATATGAATATATATTTCAGAGAGACTGCCTTTGCTGAATGTGAGAGTGCTCTGTGAAATCTACTAATGATCTTATTTACAGTCTGTGACTATCACTGTGCGAGGTTGCTAACAACTGATGATAGAAAGCAAGTCATTAGCAAAAATAAATAAATAAATAATGGAAATAATGTTCAGTTTGTTATCCAGGTTAAATTGTTCTATTTCTATATGATAAGTTTATCTTTAAGTTCATTTAACTCAATAAATTGTTGAAACTGATTACGTCATCAATTTTAAGTAAACCTAACTCAATTTTGTAAGTTGAAAAAATATTCTTGATCAAGTAACTGTAGTAAATTTAAGTGACAATTTTGTCATTTTTATTTGTTCTGTGAAAACAAAATACCTAGGAATTAGAACTAAAAGGAATTTTCCTGTAACTTACAAAACTAAGTTTGAGTCACTTATAATTACTAAAAGCTGCAAAAACATTTTGAGTTAAAATATCTTAATGCATTGCAGTGTCTTTAGAGTACGTCCACACTAAGCCGGCTATACATTTAAAAATGATGCATTTTCTCTTCATTTCGGCCCTCCACCCACACTAACGGGAGGCATTTCAGTAACGTGTTTCTGTCATCCGTTTCACGTGTGTCTGGCAGAACAGATTCGCTCCACTGCGTAACAACTTATGTTTCATTCGTGCTTTAACCACTACTCAAAGCATATTTGGACTCAAGTCAATTTTCTGTCATTTTGCAAGCATAACTACAGTGATGGTGTGTTGAGCTCTGAGCCAAATTGCGGGTGTCCTACACTCAATACTGTACCTGAACGCCTCCTCTGTAGACACAGATGGAACACTGAAGCTGCTGCTGTGTTTTTCTCACCCAGAAAGTTTTCAAAATTGGTCTCCTGTATGGATCTGACACCGCCGGAGAGTTTTACTCCGTAGACGGCTTAAACAGAACTTTAAGGAAACAATAATGTAAGACTGGTTGGTGGCTGTGTGGTGGTAAAGTTAAGGCTTTTCCTTGCCTCTAACCCTCTGTGATCACTCATTTTTAAAGTAAACATAGCTGATTAATCAATACCGGTGTTGTCATTAATACGTATTCATGCTGATTTTGTGAGACAACTTCACAATGATAAAATTGTAATTTGATCCAAGCTTCAGCAGGAGTTACTGTCTGGTTAATTGGTAGCTTTCATATGCAAAAGACTGAGCGTTCTGATTAATAAATGGTGCTCATGGATTAATAATCTGTAAGGAGAAAAATATTTGCATTGAGTTTCTCAGTCAGGTTACAGTAAGACTTCTGATATGGACCTTTGACCTACAAAATAAAAGGCATAGAGGGTTAGATGGTAAGGTTTCATGTATTATTTATACCCACTGAATGAAAGCATAGATTAAAAGTCTGTGTCAGAAAAATGAGATAGTAAAACATGTGTCTTAGTATTAGTGCAATAATATTATTGAAAGTCACTCAAAGCTGAGTATAAATTAAACAGTGTGCAGGACAAGTGATAAAGGATATGCTAGGGGAAGTGTTTTGAGATACAACTTGTGCTATCTTGTGCTATATAACATATGGGATATTATAGTATGCTCAGTATTCTTCTGACACCAGTTATTAGTCTGTGCTTTTTATCTAGCTGGTACGGCAAACTAAATTCACAGCTTTCATTCTGAATGCCATGCATATTTGGGAATGTCCCCGAAGCTGTGCGTTCATTTTAGCAATCATTCGCTCAGTTTATCTATCCCTACACACAGTTTTTCATTCAGATATTGTTTTGCTCTGTACTTATGACCAAGTAGCTGTTTTATGTTCATTCAGCTGTAGTACAGAAACAGAAGACTATGGCCCTGTTCACACCTGGTATTAGAATGCGTCTCCACATGTATCTCTAGTGACCACTTGTGATTGGATCTCACCTCCCCGCTCAATAAGCGAATACCCATATACATCAACAGTAGTACAGTAGTAGCCAACACTCCTGGACAAACAGACAAAATACTTTTTCCATAAAGAAAGAAATAACTTAATATATTAGGTTTGCCGAATTTAGGTGGCCAAAATAATGAAGGATTTGTCTTAGACTGAGTTTCTCCTAATTAAAATACCCACAAAATTGCACAGTTGTTTAAAGCTTTCTCCACAGGTTACAGTGATAACATAACAACATGACAAGCTGAAAATGTTTATTACAAGGAAAGACACAACTAAATGTACTGCATTTAATGCCAAATTCACAAGAAGGCCCAAATGATTAAGAATTTGACGTTAGCCATTTCACAAAGCTTATAAAGTTACTCCTCATTTAACAACTCTCAGAATTACATGTTTTTTAAAGGGAGTCTGGGGATAATGCCGTTCTTAGTTCAGTGGTGAAATCAGTCTGCTGCTTATCTTGGCAGGTAAGAGAGCCTAAACACATCATTTGTTGGACCAAATGAAAATCAGAGCAGTGGGTTTTGTAGGTTTTGTGTGTACTAACAGGATGTCAGTAGTAGAATAGGCAGTCCTTCAAATGTGGCCCAGGACAGATTCAAGTACACACTGCTAAAAGAATGAGGCCATATTCATCCCAGACCACTTTGGAATGTGGTCTGAGCGATCAGATCTCAGTACATCCTCCTGTACTCAGAGCTGTTTGCTTTTGATCAGATCAACTGCATGTTAATACCAGGTGTAAACCAGGCCTATGTGATTAGAACAATATAGTGTATCTGTGTCTCCTTCACTGTGAATCACAGTCAACTGTCTTCATTAACACAAACTCATGAGTTTTGAACTTAATTAATGGTATTAATGAAATTTGAAGAACTTGAACATGAATCTTTACGTTAGGAAAAACGGTTAATACTTTTTTTTTTTTCAATTGTAACTATTTAATTTTCAAGTACCAAAATAATGAATCTGGTTCAGCTCATTGTACAATTTGTGAAATACAGAATTTTTTGTTTCCTTTAGTTTATTTCAAAACTTAAAAGTTTGAGTTAGACTTAAAACTTGAATGAAGACAGTTGCCTTGAAATTCTGAGTTCTCTCAGCTTTTCTTTTCGACAGTGTATGTTGCGTATGTATTGTCTCTGTAACAGAAGTTGAACAAAGTCTGAAATAAACACACACGATATCCAGTGAGGATTAGATGACATTGTATACATTACTCCAGCTTGTGTATATTTTTGTGATGTGTGTGTCGCAGAACCCATCTTGCCTCTCAGATGTCAGCTATGTGAAATATCTTCACAGTGGCAGCAAATGAAGCAGTCTTCCATAAATGCAGACATCTAGGTGATAAATTATCAGCAGTAAAGACCTCTTGGACATCCTATCACTTAGCCATATCTGCTGATAAAAAAGAGGAAAAAAAACAGTCAGACGGTCAGGCTGAAATGGGTGAAAATATTACCCCGAATCCTTTTTTTTCTAAAGCTTTTCACAGTGATCAATTGAGCTCACCAAGCACATTGCAACAGCTTCCTGACAGCCCAGTTTCTGCACTGCTCTGGACGTACATGTGTAAGGATTTTGGATAGAATTTGAGCCCAGGCTTGCATACTGTATACATTTCTCTTGTAGCGAGGAGCAGAACAACACCACCGATCAGACCAGCCAAAAGTAGAACCATAGTGAGTCGATGATGTACGGGAATGTCTCAGTTTCAATTTATTAGAAGACGTATGCTTTTGAATGCTCTGAATATTTTAAATGTAAACTCTTTTCTACTGCCTGCTCTCTTAAAGCTATAAATAGTATGCATATGATCAATCTTTTTTACTTGACAGAAAAAAAACATGATTTTCATTAAAAGAGCTTTTGTCTATGAAAACACCTCTGTGTGACTTCTGTTGTTTTTGTCATTTTCATTTCCATCAGCAAACTAAATAGACAGGCCTGTGGACAGATAGTGGGAGTAAAGCTGTATTCTTTAGAAGCTAAAAGCAACAGCCTGTTGTTAACTTAATTATTTTATTATCTTGAGATATTAGACTTTATTTCTTTTAAATTTACAATGCAGTTGTTTCCTTATCAGGAGATAGCAAATGTTGAATATATTTTTTGTCAACCTTGCACTTAAAGCTGAGGTGGGCAACATTTTAATAGATTACATTAAAGGCCCACTGTGTAGGACTTATTGGCATATAGCTTTGAATTTGCAGATTTCAGGTAAGTAACTGAACACCGCTTGCTGTGAAGTGTTTAGGACAAACTACGGTGGCGGGGAAACTCACATAAAAGGCTGAAAGGCTAAATCTCCAGCCAGTGTGGCAGACTCCATGGAAGGTGACCCTTGGCATCTGTAGATAAAAACAGCTCATTCTAAGATAACAAAACCACTTTTTTACTATATTCAGGTGATTATACACTAATGAAAACATAGCATTATATTCCATTTCTGCCAATAGGTCCTCCTAAATGTTACACACTGGACCTTTAAAGTAATAAAACGTTCTGAACAGTGTAGTAAATCAAAAATGTAGAGGTAGTGAATTGTCCTTACTCAGCTATTTTGAAATGTATAGAAATGGGTCTGACCAATAAGGTGATGTCTAAGCCAAAGGATACGGCTCTGTTTTCAGTCCTGATCAACTAAAGTTAGGAAGAGCAAGCATGTCAAGTGTACAGGGCGCCCTGATAGCTCACCTGGTAGAACTGGCGCCCCATGTACTGTCTACCTTGAACTACCTGTAAGTAAAAGACAAAAAGAGCCACCCATAAATATTTTAAAATATTTTAAAATATTTAAAAAGTAAACTTTGGCATCAAAACACTGAAAAATAAAAGTTACGTAGATATATCAGAATATTAAAAAAAATCATCATGAATCAAAATGAAATTAAATGCTCTAATGTCTGTGCTGTGTTTCAATTCAACATTGGCCAAATTGTATTTTTGATACCATTTATTTTTTTTATGTGTAATTCCGTTCCATAGAACGTAGCTTTATTACAACTAGAGGGCTGACGCCAGCTTTACCTCGGTTCAATATATATATGTTACTGCTCTTTTGATCAATATATATATGTTACTGCTCTTTTGATGATGTCACACTCAAGGTCAACCTCTACGTTATGAGGCTTCTGTCTGCTGTTAGTTGAGACTGTTTGCAGCTGTGGATCCTATTTTTACACCACTTACGGCAATCACCTGATGGCCAGTATCTGTCTGTATTTTACAGCTTCTGTCCCTCTGTTGCTTTCTTCATGACAGACGAGCCTAGTAAACCGCGACTACAGTGGCGTTAAGAGTTTAGGCTTACAGCAACTGACGCAATCTGACTGACCATTGCATCATGTTTTACTGTAATCAACAATCAGCAGACAATGCAGCCAATTCCCATTTCCTAATTAATCACAGGATCACAAGGAAATAAAGTTTGATATCTCAGGATAAGTGAAGTGAGGCAAAAACTAGCATCAACAGCTGCTCATGACTTCGCTATCCAACAAATTACATCCATCAAAGTGTTCTTTAGAAAATTAACTAACTGCTCCAGTGGTGCTATTCTTTGACAAATGGATGAAAACTGAGGTTTTACTGGGCAGCTTCCATGTGTGAAAGTGTCAGATGATTGAAGTGAGAAGTTGGACGAAGCTGAAAAGGGCCGTGTGTACTCAGCAAAGCCTCCCTTGATAAATCAAGCTTAAAGGCATGGACAGTTTCAGCCTGGGCAATGATAAAAGTATGCATGTTAACATGGTACACTGTATTACTAATAAAAATATTTGCTCCAAAATAAATTTAAAAAATGTAGAACAGTGCCCGCCACATTTCCTTTATTTATGAGAATATTACATTAATACATTACATATTACATTACAATTATAGGGTCATTGTTTTATGCATTCATTTCGATTCAAACAGCCAGTACAAGGTGCAGAGGTACGGTGCAGTGTGATGTCACGGTGGACTGAACAGCCAATTTTGATCTTACATTAAATTACATTTATTCAGCTGCTACTTTTATCTAAAACGACTTACAATAAGCATTCAACAATGTGGATACAACCTAAAAATCGTTCTTGCAATCGTACATCCGCCTAATCAAACAAGCTGAACTTCTTCAACTACTACCTTTAGAAACAGTAAGAAATAGAAAAAGTTTCATATCTTTTCATGAGCCAAGGTGCAGCCTTAACAGATTATTGTCGGTGACAGAAGATTTCTAGACTTTCTGCTGCTCTGATGTCAGTGGGGAGCTCGTTCCACCACTGTGAAGCCAGGACAGCAAACCATTTTGTTAGAAGTTAGCTGGGCTCGCTTCGTAGTGAGGGAGAAGTGAATGGTTTGACCAGGTCCTAGATGTAGGCAGATACCTGTGACTCGAATTGAACAGCCAACAGTAGCCTGTACAGGGTGTGAAGTGTTGTAAGTGTTAAGTTACGTTCAACCATCAAAATGATTATACATGATATTATTAATGTTTATTAACAACTTTTAACAACTATTTTCATCCAATTGACTGAGCTAGGTCCAATGTATAATCTATAAAAGATAAAATGTAGTAAATTAAGTAGTAAGTAATCTAATCTAACAAGTTGATTTTACTTACTTACTTACTTACTAAAAATCTAGGAAACAAATTGCCTTGAAAAAGTAAATATAATAATTTGTCTTCAGTTCTGTTTACGTAATATCTACTTGTTAAGTTTACTTAAAATTTCGTTGTAGTTACTTTATTTTGTGAAGTTGCTACAAATTAAAAATGGCACTTGAAACGAACTTGTTCATTCAGTTGTCTTATCTGAACAATAAAAAATTCTGAGCATCTTAAGCTAACAATAAGAACAAATCTGAGAAGAAGAGAGACATTACAAATGCAGATGCTTTTTGATGAAGTTTGCTTTTTGAAGTGGTGTGAATCATATGCTATGACCTTCACAGTCATAGATCTTGACCCAACCATAAGTTCAACTTGGAGACCCTGAAGTTGTCCTGGACATTTGTGGTGGAACAACACCTCACTTTCTGTTTTATTTTCCACCCACCTGCATGTGTGGGTTGGCTTTTTTGAACGAGGCAGGAATGACATTCGCACATCTGCTTCTACATTTATTACATTACAGGGAAGCTCATCTGTACTGATTACAAAAGCCAATCAGATAATGAAAATAGTCCATCTGGCTCGGCGAGAGGAAGGTGAAAAAGGCTGAAGCAGGCTGACGAATAGAGTGAGAAAGAGCAGAGAGAGATAGCAGCTGAATCTCTGAATTCTGCCACCTTTTTTTCTCCAAACTCATTCTCACCCTCTCCTGCCTGCTTGCATCTCTCCAGAAATGAAATATTCATGGAAGCCCTGGATTTTATCTGCTGCTTATCATCCTGCCAGCCTCCTGCTCTGCTACTACTGCTGTGATCGCTACTATAACAGCAGCGAGGCCACCGCTGCTGCCGACACCTACTGCAAGTTCACACTGTTTATTTGAGGAACTCCTGCATATAAGCAAGGGCCATCTCCATCTCCTGCTCCAGCTCCAGTCACCCTCCCTTTCTTCTTCCCACCCACACAGAAAGACAAGAAGAGGAGCAAAATGGTAAAATGGAAAATGAGGGAGAGGGGGTGCAGATATCACAGAAATGGGAAGCAGGGAGGGAGGAGATAAGAAAGTAATAACTGTGAAGAGGAAGGAATGGAGGAATGAAGGTGGGAAGGTACAGTGCAGCATGGCACACTGGAAGGAAAACCATTATGTGCTTGAAATATCTCCTATTGGCCCGAAATCTCCTGAAATTACAGTGGTTGTGAGACGTATGATTTTTCCCACAGAGAGCAAATATGGAAAGATATTCTGTATCAGTGAAGGGAAAAAAAGAAGCGGTGACTCCATTTTCAGAGCATAAAAAATAAATTCAGAGATTTGCGATCATTCAAGCATGTGATGCTGAAGCTGCATCCTGTGAGCCTGAGCAGCTCTGGAACTTTGAAGACAGAGCAATTGCTCCCCCTAGAGGATTTTCTGCTCTCAACTGTTTAATATTTCATTTTTATTATAGAAAGATGATTTATTTATTTATATACTTACATACTTTATATATTTTTGGGGGGCTTTTATTGCCTTTAATTGATAGAAACAGCTAAGGAGTGACAGGAGAGGGGGGGAGAGAGAAAGGGGATGACATGCAGCAAAGGGCCACAGGTCAGAGTTGAGCCCATGACCACTGCGGCAAGGACTCAGCCTCGGTACATGGGGAGCTAGTTCCACCAGGTGAGCTATCAGGGTGCCACCCATTAAAAAAAAAAAATGGTCCTGCTTGACTCCCATTGCTAATATTACTGATATTATTGTTGTTATTATTATTATTATTATTATTAATAATAATATTACTATCACTACAGTCACTGCTCATTGTCCCCCATCGTTGTTGTCCTCATCATCTTCTTCATGTTCATATCATCATCACCATCAGTCACTACTATTGGTGTAGTTGTTGCTACTGTTGTTGCTGTGAACCTCTGTTTCTGCCTCTGTCCTTCTGTCGTTACCTCTCTCTCTCTCTCTCTCTCTCTCTCTCTCTCTCTCTCTCTCTCTCTCTCTCTCTCTCTCTCACCCCCCAACTGGTCGAGGCAGACGGCCACCCACCCAGAGCAGAAGGGTCTGTCCAAGGTTTCTGCCTCTTAAAAGGACGTTTTTCTTTGCTGCCGTAGCCAAGTGCTTGCTCATGGTTGTACTGTTGGGTCTCTGTAAATAATGTTATAAAGAGTTTGGTCTAGACCTGCTCTATTTGAAAAGTGTCCTGAGATAACTTCTGTTATGAATTGGTGCTATACAAATAAAATTGAATTGAATTGAATTAATTAGTTGACCTTACTTAAAAAAGTATGCAAACTC